GGGGGGGGGGGGATGACAGGTAGATTCATGTGTGTATGTGTGTGCAATGAGGGGTGTGTATCTGTGCATGTGCGTGTCAGACCTGCAGGAGTGAGAAGACCGCCGGAGCAGAATAAGGGCTCAAGCCGACATAAAGGTCTGCACAAAAAGCATCACTTGCACTGTGTCATGTGTGTGTATATGTGAGTGTGTGTGGTGCTCATCCGGCGCACCCTGGAAAGTCACAAGTGCCTGCAACCTGACACACACAAGGACACAGCAGCATACCAGGCATGTCAGCCACTCTGGCCCGTCCTCTCCGGCTCGTTCACTCACTTGGGGTTGCTGAAGAATCGACCGGCCTCGGTGTGGTGCGACGACAACGGCCACATGGACAGCAGCGACTTGAGAAACGCATTGATGCTGTCAAAGGAGAATTCAAATTGGATGAAGTTGGGCACACCGAACAGCCGATTTCCGTCAGCCGCGTCCAGGTACCTCATGAACTTATCGTACCTAAGACACACACAGCACACCACACTCATGCACTGCACTTGCACCATCAGATCAGATCAGATGTGTGTTCGCCCCGCCGGCCCCAGCGCACCCATCGTCCTCCAGCTGGTCGAGCTGCTCCTTCAGGAGAGCTCGGTTGCTCATGGTGAGGTTGAGGGCCGTGCCGTCCTCGTAGAAGATCATGTACGGCGGCTCCACCTTCCTCAGATCGATGGCGTCATGCAATGCAACACCGAGGGACGAAAAGGTCTCCTCAAAGATCTCTGACAGACAGAGTACGCACAGACACACCGCACACGATGATGCGATGCCGCCTGCAAGTGTTGGTCCTCCGTTCAGTACCAGGCATGAGGAAAAGGGATGCGCCTGTGTCAAAGCGGAAGCGGCCTTTGGACGTCTCGACCAGCTCCTCACCCACACGACCGCCAACCATGGCCTGCAGAGGCGAACGACCATGTGCAGCAAGACAGGGCGTTCTTGCCACGGTGGAAGCACTGCAGATCGTCGTGTGTGAGTGTGCTCACCTCGCTGTTTTTCTCAAGCACGGTGACATCGAACCCTTCACGCGCCAACCTCCCTGCTGTTACGAGGCCACCTATACCTGCACCAGCCGGACACACACAGACAGCGAGGCCAAGGAGAGAAATCAGATCACGCGTATGTGTATGCTCTCACACTTTGTGTGCTCCCTCTGTTTGCACTCATCTTCTCTGCCTCTGATCTACCTGCGCCAACCACGATGCACTTCGGCTTGTCCGTCCGGGCATCACTTTTGGCGCCATGCTTCGACCGACCTGCCCTTTGCGATGTCCTGGTCAGCCTGCTGACGGCGTGCCGATGCGATATAGGAGAGATCTGGCTGGTGGGGATGAAAGCCGAGGCTGATCCGATGGCGGATCCATGAATGAGGATGATAAAGGACGCGCCGAGGGTGGCGAGCACACACATAGCTCAGGGACGGAAGATGATTCACATCTGAGGACGCGAAAAAGTTCTCTTCGCAAGCTGAGCTTGCAGACGCCAAGCTCGCGGTAGGAGGAGAAGGGAAAGGAAGAAAGAAAGACCGACTCCTCTCCAAAGGTGAGATGGACAGATAAGACTCACAAAATGCATCGCGCTGACAATCGGCCTCTTCTGTCGCAGGGGCTGCGAGGAGCCGGCAGCTGTGCTTGGTGGAGCGGCTGTTCCAGCATGCCGTCTATGGAGCTGCCTGGGGGAGTGCCTTCAGACTTCCGCACCTGTTTTGAGGTGGTCCGCCGGCTCTCGCGCGACTTCATTAACAGAGGATTGGTGCAGTCTACGAGTAGCACCAAACATACGGGAAGCCGAGAAGGAGCGGGTCCGCGAGAGTTTGATCCGGCTCAAGACCACCCTTTGTGTGCTCCTGAGAAGCGGGGCAGACATGACCCGCCTACCGTCATGCCACCGGCGAGAGGGGGCACCGCTATTTGGGCCTCGTCATGGGCGAGTACACGACGGTGCTGAATGAGTGCCCGATTTGGCCATGGCCGCAATCAACAGCGCCCTGCGGTCCCACTGCAGCCTGGGCGCCCTGCTGCCGCACACAACGATGGCGAGGACCCCGCCCCCTCCCCGCTCTCATTCGGACCACACGAGGCGGCCGCCATTGGCTGGCGCATCGCTGCCGGATGCTTCGACTGGGACGATGCTACAGCAGCCATCAGCGGGAGACTCGGCATCTGCAACACACTGGCCCGACGAGGCCGCCCAGCACGGTGTGGGGGGGGCAAGGGGCTTCAACGAGCACCTAGGCGGTCACGATTGCCAATTCGCGTAGGGCCAGCTGGGCCACGTCGACAAAACGGGGCTATTCGTGTCGTTGGGCATCGAGGGAATTAGTGGTGGATGCAAGAGGAACAGGCAAGGCATATGGGCATTAGTTGGATTGGTGAGTCGTTCCGGACTTGGCGGTCCTGCTTGCGTTGAGCGGTGCATGATGCGCTCTCGGCGGTCTGCTATGTTGCTTTAGTCGCTTCCACGGTTCATCTGAGCCTTTGCATTTGTGACGTTTGGCCCCGGCCTCCTTACTTTGATGGAAGACCGAGTGCATTTGTGAGACCAACGGACAGACGGCGGAGGAGCTAGTGTGTTGTTTCACCCACCCACAACCATTTGCTCAATCAAAGTCCGTGTCTCTCACGTGGGACGGTCCAGCATGCATTCCATCCATCCATCCATCCATCCATTCACACAAACATTCACAGACATGAGATGGCTGTCAGGAGCTGGCAGGAAGGGCCGCAAGGAGTGAGGGGTACATGTATCATCGAGAGGCTAGTAGTGCCACCACTCGCACACAGTGACCCTACAACCAGGCAGGCAGGACTTCCACGCCATCCATGAGCCGACAAGCCAATCCACCACCCACACACATGTATGGATGCACGACTGTACAGCGCCTCCCACCCCAATACGCTCCCCTCGAGACAGTGGTGGAGTGCAATGCAATGTAGAGAGTGTATTGTGTGTGTGTCTACTCCTCCTCTTTCTTGATGATAGCGTCTGTCTCACCGTGTCCGTCTCCCTCCAACTCTCTCTCCTCCTTCTTGGCTCTCTGTCTGGCCTGGCTGGGTCGCAGCACTATCGTGCCGTCTGTCCTCTCTGTCACGCGACACCTCTTCTTAGCCCCCTTCCTCACCATACCAACCACCGAGTTAGGCCTGCCACCGTACTTGTACCCGACGGACAGCACGACACTGTCGAGTGTCGGGAAGGCTGAAAACGCCTCAACCACACACTCAGCGAACGAGCCGCAACACGTGCGCAGCTCGCGGGCGCTGGCATATGTAATCTTGATGCACACCTCGAGTGATGAAACACGGCCATTCTCCATGACCTCCCTGACTGCCTCGCTCTCCCCGTTCCCGTACATTTCCCAACCGATAGAAATGTCAGCACGTTCCTCTCTGTCTAAGTCATAGTTGTAGCGCCAGCCGTCACATGTGATATCATACTTCAGCTGGACTGCTAACTCCTTGCCTTCGCTTGACACGGACTCGAGGCCATCAGGCACGAGAGTGCATGTGGCCTCAGGGTCCGCGCAGACAGACAACTCAAAACACACCTTCTCTAGGTAGGGGGAGAGGGCATGCAGCACATAGCCCGCCCCACGCCCAGACGCACCCACGCCCACTGGCAGCGCCCCCTCCCTCACCACAATAGACGAGACGCTCGGGAAGAGCGATGTGGGGTCGTCCGTGATGTATGAGGGCAGCAGGCCGGTGCCGGGGTAACGCACGATGGTGAGCTCGTGGGCATGCTCAAACACCATCGAATCCAGCCCGGGGGCCTCTTTGATGGTGTCGGCGGACGCATGGCTGTCGAGGGTCACCTTCTCGGCCTGCTTGCAGCACATGTCCACCGTGGCGAGGGAGTCGGTGAGGGCCTTCTTGTCGCCTCTGAAGGGCAGGTGGACGGTGGGGCCGCCCTGCAGCTCGCCCTCCTCGATGCGGCCGAAGTAGTCCTCACGGGCGTCAGGGGCCAGGCACTTGGTGCGAAAACGATGCAATTTCTGTGCAGACGAACACGCAGACGGAAGGGTTGATGGGATGGCAATGGATGCGAAAGTGTGTGATTTCTCTCCCCACCTGTATCTCATGTATGTTGTGGATCTCTCCGATGGCCATCTCGATCTCCTCCAGGGGGCCTGCTTCATCGCCCGTGGAGCCCACCAAATTGATGAAGCCATTGTTGTAGTTGGAGCTGTCTGAGAACTTGATGCGGCCGGTCAGCGACGTGAGGCTCTTGGCTGATACATGCACACGAAAGCAAGTACATACAAAAATTCTCGCTCGGGCGTGGATTTGAATCATCATCACCTGATGGCGTGTCGGCGAGGGCGTTTGCCACATGGGTGAGACTCGCAGCGCCACCTCGGCAAGTGGGATCCTCCTGGAAGCAAAGTAGCAACATGAAGTCAATCGTTCATCAACCACACGCTCCCCTTTTCCTTTCTAAGTGGCCGCCTCACCTTGTCGCAGATGATGTGCAGCGAGCTGATGCCGCCATCAGCCTCGCTGATCCACCGATGAGCCCCAGCCATGGTGATGTCCACCACGCCGAGGCCCTGCAGGTGCGGCATCTGATACATGCGGTCCTCTGCCACCTTCATCCACACCGTGCCAACGCTGGCTGACTCCACACGCTCAAACACAATCGGCTTCTGCCGCATACACAAGAGGGAGACATGACAATGATAAGTCCTAGGAGGCCTCTGTGCGTTGTGAGCGCCCCCACCTTGTTCTGTGGCAGGTCGACCTTCTGGAAGTCGCCCTTCCTCTGACGCATGTCTCGCTCCACGTTGTACTGCACCTGTATCTCTGGCGCACGCTGGCCATTTCTGTAGATGGGGTGCTCGTACTGGCTGTGCAGCTCCACACTCTCGACGGTGCCCGAGAGGCGCTCCAGCAGGTACACCAGCGACTTGGTGGGCCGGTGGTAGATGCGCACGTCAGCACACTCAGACAACGGACCTGATCACAACAAAACACCACAAATGGTTGCGCACACACAGCTGTCGGGTTTCCTCTTTCCCCCCTCCTCACCGGCCGTCCATTTCTTAGCGATTTTCATCTTGGGTGAGTCCTCCAGCTCGACGATGGGGTGCATGCCGGCCTGCTGGGTGAGGTGGTGGAAGAAGCTGTTGACGCTCGCCAGCGACTCCAGACACGACACGAAGCCCATCATGGCGCCCATCCCCACACCGTCGGCCATCCACAGGGCCTTAGGCAGACCTTCAAGCTGCGACCTGGTCTGAGAAAGAGAGCGCGAAGTGGAGACAAATGGTGATGGATTCCCTTTCTGTGTTTGTGTTGTGTTGTGCTGTGGTGTGTTCTGTTGACCTGCTCGGTGTCGTCTTCGTCGATTTCGTCGAGTTTGTGTCGGATGGCGTCGAGTTTGCGGATGTTCTCCCTCATCTGCTTGGTAGCGACCTTGTCCACGTGGCTGATTTGCGTCTTGGCGTCGGCACACACCATGCTCGACCACACGCGAATCTGACGATCCACCTCCTGAACAAACCCCCCACACATACAAGGAACGGCTGTGTGTGTTGATGTCGTTTGGTGTTGGCCCTGACCCACAGTCACCCACTCACTCACCGAGATGCGGTGTTGCTGTTCGAGCGATTCGGGGTCCTGAGCGGCCTTTCTCAACTCATACACCTCACGAGCCTGCATGATGGCATTCAATACACACACGCCAACGCGCTGCCTCCCCCGTTATGCTAGACTTCCTGCCCCACGAAGAAAAGTACCTGCTTCTCGGCCTGTTTGGCCTGCTTGAGCTGCGCTTCAAGCTTCATCGTCATCTTCTTCAGAGCCTTCAACGCGTCCTCAGGACCAACCTCAACCACATCCTGCATGAAGTAACGAAGCCAAACCACAAAACACGGAAATGCACACCCACCACCAGCCTCAGCAGCCATCTGCATCCCTCACTGCCCACCTCGATATCCTCATCGTCGTCGGACACCTCCATCTTATCCCTCCCGCCGCCCTTCTTATCGCCCTTACCCTTCTTATCCCCCCGCTGCCTCTTCTTGCCGGCCTTCCTGCGCCGCCCTCCCTTGCCATAGTCCGAGCCCTCCCCGTCACTGCTGCTGGTGTCGACGTCCATGACGGGTTTGCGTTTCTGCCCACCGCTCGCCTTAAGCAAGGCCAGCTGGCGGGCCGTCATGCGATGGTCGTCCTCACCGTCACCTGCATCCATGGTGAGAGGGAGGGAGCGGATGGCAGATCTGCCGAAAGCAAGGCACGGCGGGAACAAACAACCTCAGCTTAACCCAATGCAGAAAGGAGATCTCACGCGGCCAGGATCCGGTGTTTACATCTGCTCTCCTCTCTGCTCTCGTTCTCTCTTTTCGTCATCTCTCTTCTCACGCCAACTATTGTCGCCACCATGGACGGCCCGGCTCAGCCCGAGCGTCTGACGGCTCGCCAGGCTGCTCTCGCCGTCGGCAAGAAACGCAAACCCATCGCAGCGGGACCGGAGGACGAGGATGATCATGACGATGACGGGGATCGCATGAGCATCAGCAGCAGCAGCGGGTCGGATTGGGAGGCCGACCGCCGCGGCAAGAAGAGTGGGCGTCACGCCAAGAAGACGAAGATCAACGACGGACAGGCCAAGGGGAAGAAGGCCAGCAAGGCAACTAAGGGCAGATCTGATGCTACGATGGCGGAAACTGACGACGTGGCGATGCAGTGGGAGGGGAAAGTCTAACATATGACGTACAATAAGGGCGCGTCACCCACTGTCTGTGTTGGTTGTGCGTGTGTGCGATTTCTATGCAGGTTCTGGATGAGTTGAGTCCCGCCGATGTGTTGAGTGCGCTCGGCGGCATGGTGGAGAAGCTACAGGCGCAGATACAACGCATCGAAGAGGCAAAGGCTAAGGTGGGTGGAGGGAAGGGTGGGAACGGATGTGTGCGTGTGTGTGTGCGGATGTGTGTCGTGTCCGTCAGGCTGAGCGTGTGTTTGAGTTGAGGATGGATCTGCCGCAGCCCGAATCCCCCGCACAGAACACACGCATGGAGGTGCGCAACACCCATCCATCCATCCATCCGCGGCACACCGCAGCCATTCACGTGTGTGTGTCATTCCGTTCTCTTTCATGCCATGCAGGAAGTTGATCGTCAGTTCCGTGTGTTGGCGTCTATGGCTGTCCGCGACGCCGACATGGAGATGACCCACACCGACACGACGGCAATGCCACAGGTCGAGCAGCTGGTCAAGAAGCTCGAGCTGCTGCAGGACAAAATCGACAAAGTCCACCAAGATGACGGCGAGGTACGCAGAAACACACACAGACAGACACGGAACAGAAATGCACGCACGCAGGGAGGGAGGGAGGGGGGGAAGGGGACGTCGACACACCCACCCATATTTTCATCAACGTTGTCTGTTTGTGTGGCCGTATGACAGGTCGGTTTGTGTCTGCGGGGTCTGCCTGAGGCGTTGTGGACGACTGCTGGCGAGCATTTGGGCCTGGGCGGCTTCCTGGGGCTGACGTCATTCATGCAGTCGCTGTCGAGTGTGAGCACATACTTCCGAGCACTCAGCCTCCACAGCCACATGCACCCTATTGTCGAGCTGCACAAGTCGCCGCCTGAGGACATCGCAACCAAACTCATCGGTAACCCTGCACAAGCCACCCACATTTCCTGCAGGGGCTGCTCTCGTGTTCAGGTGGCTTGTTGTCTCATTGCAAGATCCTTCGCGTCAACCATCGCCCCACCCCGACCCTCGTGCGCATGCTGGAGGGCCTTGCAGCCACGCTCGAGTCCATCGATCTGCAGGGCCGCGCCACGGGCAACCAGGGTGAAGCAGGGGCTTCTCATCTGTCTGCTCACCCTTTCCCCTGTCTGCAGCGGGGGGCATTCGTTATCGCAGGGGGCGACCACAGCGAGTTCCTTTGAAGCTGGAGCGCAACAACGTGCGGGTGGTGTTCCCCTGTCTGCGTGAGGCGAGCGTCCGAGGCGGCTGGAACAACCTCCCCAGCGACCGCAACTATGCGCTGCCTGTGTTGAAGTCGATGAGTGTGGGCGATACCGGCGAGTACGGGCCCCGTGCTTGGCTCGACGCCGCAGTGGTCACAGCTACCTTCCAATCGCATCCACAGGAAGGGAAGGAGGGAGCTGTGACCACGGCTGCGCGGTGGGTATTGCGTCGTCTATTGGTGTTTTCTCACGTCAGGCTGACCCCAGCTGCAGCCGTGAGGTGGGGCTCGATGCGATCGCTGACTTCCTCGACATGAAATCAGGTGACGTACATAGCATATGGGAATGGCCACACAAGACGGTTTGGTCTCAATGCATACCTCTTTCTACGTATCAGCCGAGTCTTTGGTGTCGCTGACTGGTCGTGTGGCCTTCCGTCGCACTCATGTGCCGCAGGGGGGATACTATTACCAGTACTACAGTGAGGAGCCCATCTACGGCAACGCCGGCAACTTCGCCAACCGCACGGGCCGGCAGCTGCGCAAGATCGAGATGGCCATCGGCGCCGCTCCGTACTCAGCCGACTTCATTCAGGTGGGTCGCCCCACGGAGACACAAGAGCTGAAATGATGCATTTCTCCATCTTTCCCCCTTACTTCAGAAGCTTCACGATTTCCGCACGGCATGCGTTGGAGCCGGCGCGAGCGAGAGCTACTACAGCCGCTTCATCAACCACACCAAGCAGGGCCTCGGAGTCCACCTGCCCTTCGTGGGACCCCGCAGCACCCTCACTGAGTGCCGCTCGACGCTCCACGCAATCTGCGGCGAAGCCGTGGACGTCACCCTCAACTCACACTCGCACGTGACCGTGGCCGATCTCGTGATGGGGGAGGCAGAAGACGACCCTGACGTCGGCCAACTGATGTGCCCGAAGGCCAAGCACATGACCATCCAGCCCTCGACGCAAGACCAGAGCCTCCCCCTCCCTGACTATCTTGTGACTGATCCTTCCTCCCTCTTCCCATCTGTCGAGTGTGTTGTGGTCAAGCAAGAGCATAAGGGCAGTCAGTTCTATGATGGGGGTGTGGATCGTGTGCTGGGTGCACTGGGTGGCTCGCTGCGCAAAGTGAGGGTTGAGCTGTCTGTCCCTGGCAGCCAGAATACTACTCTGCGGTTCGTGCCTGAGGCGATGACTTTTGTTGCGCCTCAAGGCAGAGATCTGTCGTTGTCCGTCCGCTGGCAGCTCGACAGCAATCCTGCGCAGACCCCTTCTGTTGACTGGTCGTTGTGGGGCGAGGGCGAGGGCGAGGAAGAGGGCAGGGAGGCGATGGGGCGTGTGCGCAGTGTTGATCTCGAGATGCGCACGTCGCTGCACACTGCAGAAAGCAAGGCCATGTATCGCTCCCTTGTCGCGTGTGTGTCTGAGGCCTTTGCTGCCTTCCCTCGCCTCGAGTGTGTTGTCGTGTCGGAGTCATTTGCCCGCTTCCCTCTCCTGCCCCACATCAGGCAGGCGGCCAAGAAGAGAGTCAGAGTGTCTGTGGGGAGGGGGGAGCGAGGCGAGTCAGTGGAGATGAGACCATATGACGCCGAGTGAGAGGCAAGGACAGGAAGCCGCGGAGCATACCGTCCCTTCACAAGACGATTGTTCTATGAGTGCACATGAGTGTTCCGTCGCAAAGGGTTTTCTCCCTTCGTGGGAGTGCATGATCTTCTCCTCACCAAGGGACAGAGAGAGACACACAGACAGACACAGAGACAGACAGACAGACACTCCTTCCCCTCCCCCACTTGTGTGTGAGGCACACGAACCATTCTTGTGTGTGAGATGGACCCGTTTGATTGCACAATCGCATGCATGATGCCTGACAGCCCCACTGAGCGCAAAAGCACCCAAGGACAATAGAAGCCACCGCTCCACTCCAGCAAGGTGAGCTCGCATGCAGATGGATCGTTGAAGCTTCGTCAATAGCTTTCAAAGAGTTGCTCTTGAGCTGCGTCGTCCACAAGCTGTCGGTCATTCATCTCTTTCTGAAACAGATGTGGCCGACGTCGCCTCATCTCTTCGGACGCATGCCAAGACGCTTGGTAATAAATGAGTCGCTCCGTTTCAAAGTCATCCATCGTTGGTCAGTATGGCAACAGTGGAAGAATGTCCGTCCATCCATCTGTCCCCTCGTCAGAGACTTTGTCATGCAGGCCAGCACACAGACGTAGCTTGGCTACATGTATACACCCACCCACCCACACACCAACACAGACACCAAGATATCTCATCTCAAGAGCACGATGGACGGCCTAAATGCCACCCATCATGCCCCACATATCACGCAGCCGCCAGTGCGTCGAGTCTCCTCTCCTCTTCCAGGTCCAGCCGCCTCTCATAGTTGCGCATCATGCGCTCTCGCCGAGTCGCCGACCTCACAGCTGGGTCAGCCGGCCGTCGCATCCGATATCGCCGCCGCTTGGTGGCGTTGGGGCGCTTGACGAAGGGGCTGCTCACATCATAAGGCGCCTGCACACACACACACGCGCACACATACGACAACAATACAGCTGCAATGCAGTGCGCGTGTAGCAAGGTATGTCCACTGCCTTACCTGTGCTTTGGTGATGACGGTGTAGTTCATGCCGTAGAAGGGCTCGTCCAGCTTGCGGTAGGGCATGGCCCAGTTGACATACTTGTTCTGCAGGTTGCTGGCGTAGCTCTTGCCTCGCCATGGGTGCAGCCCCTTGCCCGACGTCCACCACTTGACCTCCGGCGGGCCGTTCTCCTTGATCCACTCGAGCTCCCTCTGCTCGCGCTTGATGGCCTGGTGCCAGTTGCGCAGCGCACTGTTGCGGAACTTCCACTTCATCTTCTTGGCCATCTCCAGCTGAGTGCGGCCTGATGCGCGACGAGGGGCAGATGGGCGACCGACATCAGGGGGGAAAGGGGGGGAGGTCAGGAAGCCGTCGAAGGCGCCGATGAGGGTGGAGAGGTCATCGGATGGGGAGGGGGGTGGGGGATCTGACGGGATGAGTGAGGGGAGGGCCAGGGGGAGGGCGGACACCAGCAACAGCACTGCTCCAAGCATGGATGCCATCGCCGCTAGTGCGCCTTCGCCTTCTTCACTGCATTTCGCAGAAACAGCCGCCTTTTTCGCGCAGCTAAGCTCGCAAACCTTCGTGCGAGCTAAGGAGCGGAGGAAGATCTGCCAAGCTTCCGGGTGAGGGGTCACCATGGCGGTCGGCAAGAACAAGCGGATCTCCAAGGGCAAAAAGGGAGGCAAGAAGAAAGTGTAAGCGGCACGCCAGGCACCAGATCAGCTGCGACGAGGGCGGCACGACAGAAGGGTGCATGGGGGTGACGCCTGTGTGTGTCTTGTGTCATGTGTGTGCCAGCGGCGACCCCTTCGCCAAGAAGGAGTGGTATGAGCTCAAGGCGCCCTCCATGTTCACCGTCCGCAACTTTGGCCAGACGCTCGTCACCAAATCAGCAGGGACAAGTAAGACACACCCCAGCTGGCCACACACAGACGACACACTGACTGGCACGAACCTCCTCTCACCTGTGTGTGTCGTCGTTGGTGGGTTCAGAGCTGGCGAGTGACGGTTTGCGTGGTCGCGTGTTTGAGATCTCCCTGGCTGACCTCAACGCCGACTCGGAGGATGTGGCCTTCCGCAAGATGAAGCTCTGCTGCGAGGAAATCCAGGGTGAGTGAGCATCACGACGGAACGACGTGACACACAGGGAGAGGGCCATGTCGATACATCTTCTGCGTTGCTTTGATCGATCATTAATCAACGGTGCTTTTTCAGGCAAGAACTGCCTGACGGATTTCCACGGCATGGATTTCACCCGCGACAAGATCTGCAGCCTGGTGCGCAAGTGGCACTCGCTCATCGAGGCCCACGTCGACGTCAAGACTACCGACGGATACCTCCTGCGCATGTTCTGCATCGGATTCACTAACAGGAGGTAGGGAACCAACACACACGCATACACATACCTACTGATGCGATGCGGGGGATCGGTGGCACACGTGTGTGTGTGTGTGTGTGTTGTTTGCAGGCCGAATCAGACCAAGTCGACGTGCTATGCGCGTTCTTCGCAGGTTCGGGAGATCCGGAGGAAGATGATCGAGATCATGACCAGTGAGGCCAGCAAAGTGCAGCTCAGGGACCTTGTCAGGAAATTGTACGTAAGGCAAGAAAGAGAGAAATACAACACCCGGGGGAGTGAAGCGCGTGCGTGGGTGCTCGTGTGTGTGGCCGTCTGTCTGTCTGTGAATGTGTATGCTTCCCCCCTGCAGCATCCCCGAGTCGATCGGCAAGGAGATCGAGAAGGCCTGCAAGTCCATCTTCCCCCTCCAGAACGTCTTCATCCGCAAAGTCAAGATCCTCAAGAAACCCAAACTCGACCGTAATACCTAACCCACACACCACCAAAGAAACCAACACGCACATTCCATCCATCACCCATGGACCAAGCTCCCCCTCGTTGTGTGGTGGTGTGCGCAATCAATCATCAGTGCAAAGGTTGGCTGAGCTGCACGACACCACCAGTGGGGACAGCGGTTCGCGGATGGAGCGGCCTGAGGCAGAGGAGGCCAAGAACCTCCTCGAGGAGGGCGCTGACAAGGAGTGATGACAGACGGCTCTGTCGGCGGCCGTCCATCAGATGCAGGCCTTATACGCCACGCAGCGTCACTCTTTCATGTGATGCTGCGTGACGTGTTGGACCTGTAGTGGATGGATCGGTTGCTGGCTGGGCGACAGCAGAGCAGGATGCTGTGTTCATGCATTGTCCATGTGCTGCATTGCATGCTGTGTGTGCTCGGTGGCCGTGAGGGACGCGACTGACTGAGCATCGTTTTCAATGAGCCATGTGATGTGAGTATATTTCATTCATTAGAGTCCATCCATCCCTCCCTCCCTCCATCCGTCCATTCATCAACGGGGCACACGCCCTTCCCTCATATGCTGGCCGCGCTGTTGAGGCTGATCGTGACATCGAGTGACATCGAAGTGCTCGAAATAGTCTGTCTCATCTATCTCACGTCAGCGCTCGCAGCACAGAGACATCCGTCGAGCTTTCCACACACGTACACATCAAGTCCTCTCTCGACGCCCCAGCAGCCATCCGTCTCACAGGTCAAGAACTTCCACGCGGTGGAACGCAACGTGACCTGAGATGGTGCAGTCACCATCGAGATGGTGCAGTCACCATCTCAGCTTCAGGTTGCGTGCCACAGACTCAAGTCCCTGATTCCTTTGAGACCAGCAAGGGAAAGGAACGTCAATCAATCACTCAACCCCATCCATACCATGCCACGCCACTCGGACCGAGGCTCAGCTCACAATACAAATGCAATCCCATCCCAATCCGTCACTCATCCCGTGGGTGTGGGGTAGAAGCTCGCTGGGGGCCCTCCACCACCCGGTGGTGCAGCGGCAGGTGCTGCGGGGGGGGTGGTGGCTGTGGTGACGGCTGTCGCGTGTCGCCGCCCTGCTGGCTGCCTGACGGAGGGGACGGGGACGGCACCGACGGATTCACAGCTGGAGCAGCTGGGGCAGGGGGTGGGTTCAGGCTGCCACCGCCACCACCTCCACCACGAGGAGGCGACTTGGGACGCAGCGCATCGATCTCTGAACACACACAAGACATACATACCCAAATGAATGACCAGATGGCCACTTATGGATTGTGTGTGTGTGTGTGTGAAGGTTGTGGCTCACCGGGAGTTGATCCGAGGTATCTGCCACCCCTGGCGTCCTGCACGTCCGGGTACACGGCGTCGCCCTCGAAGAAGGTCCGGTATGTGTCGGGGTCGAAGTTGCTCGTGTGGGTGATGGCATTGCCGATCGTCACCCATCCCATGCGGATGTTCCGGTCGGTGCCGAACAACTCCAATCGCCGACGACCTGATTGATACACAACCGAACACAGAGAGACAGACGAGGGGTGCACGTGTTGGTGTCAGGGGCATGGTGTGTGTGTGTGTGTCTCTGACTGACTGACCGAGGCAGAAGTGTTCGATGATGTCGTAGAGCTCTTTGGGTTTGGCGGTGCTGCCGAGCTCCTCGGGCTCCTCGTCGACCAGTATGTCGGTGTCAACGTTGGCGTGGATGAAGTGCCCGTCGGTGCTGCGCTTCACCGTTCCCTTGATGCCCATCAAGCAGTGCTCCTTCGTACGCTGTGACACACACACACACACACACGACATAGACAGAGGAAGAGAGAAGGCGGAGCATGGTTGGTTGTCCCATTACCTGGAGGATAGAGTGTTCGCTGTGCAGTCCTCCCGCATGTGTGTAGGTCTCGCCGGTTTCGAGCTCCTTCTGCTTGCGCCGCTTGCTCTCCCTCTTGTTGGTCTTGAGCCACCCGATGTCCTCACACCGACGGAAACCCCAGTGACGGAGCAGCTCACGAGCCTATCATGGATGGATACGGGCTTGCGGTGTGGCCGTGTGTCTGACTGATGTCCCTCCCTCCCTCCCTCCCTCCCTGACTCGCCTACGTCTTCGAGGTGGTTGTTGGCGGCCCATATCCAGCAGAATGAGGGGTTCTCGGCCACCAAGTCGACTCGCAGGTTGAGCAGCTCCGCCTGTGTCCACGGCGTGAGGTCCTCTGACGGAACCAGGCTGACCGGCACGCGGTCAGAGTATTCCTGCCAGGGGGGGTCGACCAATATCACGTCGAAACGACTCCCCTAGCAACCAACGCAGGGAGGGGGAAAGATGGGCGTGCGTTGAGGGAAGTCATGCACTCGGTGTGTGTTTGTTGTCTGTGTGCTTACGAGTGCGGTGAGGTCAAATGTTTTGAGGTCTGCGGTGATGGAGCAGTAGGGCGTGGCGCGCTTCTGGCAGACGTCATCCTTGAGGGCCAGCAGCCTCTCCAGCTTGGGATAGTCGGCGAAGCGGTCCTTGGCCTCCCCGTCACGAATGAAGTTCTGCGGACGCTCACCTGCACACATCACATACCACATACCCCACCCACACTTGGTCATGTCCGTTGTGTGTTGTGGCCATCGGCAGGTTGCATTCGCAGGTACCTGTATCCAGGAAGTGCTGGTTGTAGTCGTTCTTGATCTCAATCTTCTCCCCGCCAAATGGCCGCTTCATCGGCCCTCGCGGCGGAAATGGCGGGCCGCGCGGACCCATCCACTCGCCCTCGCCGCCAACGGGTGGCCCAAACGGCCCAGGAGGGGGAGGCCCGCCGAACGGCCCATCGTACGGGCCGGGTGGCGGGCCGTATGGCGGAAAGGGACCCTCATGGTTGCCTCGCCAGCTGGGAGGACGCGGGTAGATGGATGGGCTTGGACCTGGCCCTGGTGGTGGCGGGGGAGGCGGACCCGGTGGGGGAGGGGGCTGGTTCAGCGGAGGCCTGAACCTCCCTCCCCTGTGGAAAGGCCTGCCTCGGCGGCTGTCGAACATGCGTGGCCGGTGCGGCTGCATGTCCATCATCGGCTGGCCGCCTGGCGCTTGGTCGTGGTATGGGTGAGGTGGGAGAGGGTAGCCCTCGGGAGGAGGGGAGGGCGGCGGACGGAACGGATGGGAATGGGACGGACCGTTGCTCCACCGCATCGAAGACGGGTCGGGAGGTGGCCTCTCGTGCATCATCTGAGGCTCGCTTGGCGGACCTGTGAGACGACAAACAGTCACAGGAAGGCTGAATGCACCGTGATCTGATTGATGGTCTGTTGTCCTTCTGACGTCGATCTCACCATCGGCTGGAGGAGGTCCTCTCCATCCTCCATGCGGCGCATCGTAGGGCTGTGGCCTGCCGTCGAACGGCACGTTCCCCTCATATGGCTGCATCAATCAGCCGAGAAGATGACAGTCAGTCACCGGAGCAGGAAGAAGCAAACAGCAGCCTGAAGTCAGACAAACGATAGATGCATCATCAGCTGCTTGACGTCCTTGCTCTGCTGCTCTCGCTGGCGCCGTTGTCTCAGCAAAATCCTCACAGCTCGCATGCGAGCCGCTAGGGTCCTCCCTGAAACCGCTGCTGCGACTGTGAATTGCAGAGCCTTTGAGGCACCGTTTCAGCTCGTGAATCACCGCAGTAACTCATCGTGATGCAGCAGCAAGTGAGCCAAACAGGCATAATTGAAGTGAGTTCTGCACGCTGCTATGTCTGTTGCTTCCCTCCGATCAGGCCGTTCAGAGTCCGCCACTGCAGCTGCAGCAGCGGCTCACCCATCTCGTCCAGATCCACACGCATGTAACCAACACGGAGATCTACCACTGAGCTTGTTCACACAAGCACGATCGCGCGAAATCTCAGAGAGGCATGTTTGATTGTACCTGCGTGAACAGGCCTCACATGCGCCTGACTGCGGGCATACTGTACGCACGTTGATGGGTGTCGTGTGTGGTCTTCATTCAGATCACCGAGCAGCTGGCCTGTATGCGAAAATGGCCCCCGCCACCATTGCAAAACAGGTGCGCTCACGCTCACACGAACCGCGAACTGCCAGACTATGTCCCGGAACTCGTGTGACACGTGTTGCGTGTGTAGACGTGCTCACCTGTGGCCCTATCCCTGCAGCATGAGCTCGCCTTCGCCGTGGCGGTAGCGGCCAATGCCCTCGGACAAGCGAGTATGGCCCTGTCGACAGCCACAGACGTCACCAGCAAACTCGATGACCGAGTAAGCACATCAGATGACATACTCACTTGAAATTTCTTCCATGGGTGGTGTTTTTGTGTCTGTGTGCCGTATGGCTATCAGCGTCGCAAGAAGGAGGGCGCCACGTTCTGCCTAGTGTATGAGAGCGGCAAGCGGCCCGTTCGTGAGGGACCGGCTGCCTCACCAACCGGCCATGACCTGTTGTCGAGAATCTTCGGGCACCTGCAGCCCTGGGAGCTCAGCCACATCCGAACAGGTATCGGCAAGAAGACCTTCCTGCAGGCGGCGAAGCGATACAGACACATCGTCATCGACAACTCAGTCGAGTCTGTCTGCGACATGTGGGACCGGATGCCGCTGTCGGTGGCCTTCGAGTGGGGCACGCGCATGCCGCTTGTCAAGACCATTGTCGTGCGCCATCCGCCACTCAGCAAGAAGTGGTCCACGTCCGTGTTGGCCGAGATGGTCGACGGTCACACCAAGGCACGGAGTGAGCTGCACGAAGCCAGGCGGGCCGAGGCGGAGAGAGAGCGCAGACAGCCACCCAAGGAGGAGGGGACGCTGGAGTCCATCAGCTTCGTCCAAGCGCCACATAACGGCAGCTGTCTCCCGCAGGATTCGCGCTCTCGGCGCAGCACACCCCCGCCCGCTCCCCCTCGCCCCCTATTCTCCATGCCCTCAGGTCCCTCAGCGGCCTCCACAAGGATTTTTGCAACGTGATCGACAGCCACAGGTGGCGGATGCCATCGCTGCGGCACGTGCAGGGCCATCTCGTGGGTGAGACCTTCACATGCGAGTTTCTCAAGACGTCGCGGTGTCTGGAGAGCCTGGACGTGGGGCAAGAGCACGCTGGAGCCATCGCACGTGTGCTGCAGGTGTGCAGATGCCTTTGCACTTGATACCTTGACAATCACTTGCTGATGCATATTTTCAGGGTTGTCAGCTCTCGAGATTGACGAGCATCGGCACCATATCGGTGCATGGAGCGAGCCACTTGGATCAACTGCGGGTGCAAATGCTTAAAGGCAGACTTGACAGCGACAAATTCGTCGGTAAATGGGTCTTTTCTTTGTGTTGTTTCAGGTTACCCTCTCCTCTGGTGGTTGCACCTCCCTCCAGTCGGTCACCTTCCTCATTGCTTCCATCGACGAGGACACAGTCGCCTCCCTCAACGCGATGGAAGCAATGAGGACATCGGGGGTCGCGACATGCACGGCAGCCATCAACGTGCGGTTCCGGCCCCGGAAGCGCGAACAGGATATGGACCCCTTCTCCCTGTCGATTCTCCACAACTGCCCCGCCATCTCACTGTCGTCCCCGTTTGTCCGAGACAAGCTCTGCAAGCTCGCCAAGAGTGCCACTTCGATCGTGTGGCACCCTGATGAGGCCTACCTGACCAACCCTCACGAAATCGGCGACCACGCCAAGCAGCTGGCCGCCATGCTGCGATTCCCCAAAGCGAGGGCCCTCGATATTGGTCATTTGGGGGAAGTCGCGGCCTTCCAGCTGCCGGCTGCTTCCTCTCATGCGTGGTCGCCACTTGCCCATCTCTCGGTCAGGGCACTCCCCAAGACGTTGGCCGAGCTGCATCCCACAGGACGGTTCGGGTTCGAGGCCGTGCGGCTGCTGGCGGCGGCAGGCAAGATCAAGAACGTCAAAAACATCCATGCCGGTCATGGGCCACGTATGCCGGCGGGTGAGATTCCGCGGCTGCTGGCTGCGATGAAAAAGAAGAGAGTGATCGACAAGGTGGATGTCAAGGTCACCGCGGAGGGAACGGGGATAATGTGGGGCGATGAGGCTATCGCTGAGACTCTCCCATGTATACGACACCTAGCCGTCGACCTGACGGGTGGGAGCGCAGACACAAGAAAGAGCACACAGGACAATGGGTGGGCAATGCGTTACTTTCCCATGTGTGTGTGTGTGTGTGTGTGTGTGTGTGCAGTGCCGGATGATGCGGCAGCCGCCCCGTTTGTGTATGCGAGCGTCACATCGTGCGTCAAGATCCGTGGCCTGCGACAAGTCGCAATGCGGGTTTACCATGTCACTCAGCCACGGACTGTCGACAAGCAGATCGTTTCGCTGCGTCATTTCCACCCGATTGACGGCTGGTCAGTGTCATCGGACCGTCTGTGGGGCGATGGAGTGGAGGTGGAGGCCTTCAAGCGGCCAGTCAGTGAGGTGAGCGATCGTTCGTAATATGTCGTGCATTGCGTTATCTGTGGTGGATGATGTTTCTGTGTGTGCCGTGCGTTGTATGCATACAGGTCTTTCAAGACGAAGGCGATGCAGACCTGTGTATGTCATGATGGAGATTACACCCATCCTGGCACTGGTGGGTGGGGATACGCAACCGGTGTGTGAGTGTGAGTGTGAGTGTGTGTGCGGTGGCTGACACACGTTTCAATTTGAGACCGAGTGAGTGGTGCATCGCATCAATGTTTGATGCACTACATGCGAATGGTCGCCCGCCAGTCAAGGCTTTGTTTGATCGGTTCTCACGTCTCTGGACGTCAGAATTCATCGCTCACACGCACACACACCATCAAACAGTCAAGGTGTAATCAGGTCATACACACAGTCATCCACCCGATTTGTCGGATCCGGAAACCGTCACCACAACAAATTCGAACGGCCTAGCTCTCCAATCACTGTCCGTCACAGCACCGAGAGAAGATACGTCCATCACAGGCCGACCATACGTCATTCAGCCACAGGACTCGGACAGCACCAGCTGGCGGATGCGGCGATCGCGCTCGTTGTGTGTGCGGAGGCGCGAGATGTCTGCTCCGGCCTTCAGCAGAATGCGGATGCTGGTCTTGAGATTCGGGATGGTCTCGGTGCGGAGGACCTCCCTGTGGTGCTCATCCCCGTCGCCCCTGTGCAGCGCCTTAAGGCATATGTCCAGCTCTGCGGCTGCACGCTCGAGGGGTGTGTCGGTGGTCATGCCGTAGTTTCGGATGTCGTCGTTGCTGCCAACGGCGTCCATGAACTCGGTGCCGATGTTACAGCAGAGGTAGTCGACGCCATGGTGGAAGCCTGAGTGTGCAGCCATGTGTAGCGGGGTGGATCCCTCATGGTTTCCCGCCGTCAGGTTGGCTCCGTTGGCCCGAAGCAGGTCCAAGTAGGTGTCGATGAAGTCCTTGGAGAGGGAGGGAGGGGCGAGCGATGCCTCATGCACCAGATTGCACTCGATCTCGTCCGCTTCGGTGGCCAGACTGCGGTCGCGCTCGACGAGTCGCCGGTAGAAGTACAGCAGCAGCTGCTCGTATTCGGCGCTCGGGCGAGCATGTTGGTTGTCTCGTGGCAGCACCATGGCCATCACGCCGCGCAGCTGCACGCCCCGGTCCAGGAGGAGGTCGAATGCCGCCCGGTTGCCGCCAGAGATGGCCACCCGGATGGGCCTGGTCTCCTTGAGGATCACCTCGCTCATGTCGGCTCCGGCGTCGATGAGAGCATTCATGATCTGCGCCTCCACCTCGCGCGAAGGCCACCTGGGCAGGGCGACCGGATGATGCCAGTCGATGTGGCTGTCACGCGCCCAGATGGACGGCATACTGTCGTCGGTGAGGTTGTCAATGGCGAGGCTGAGCAAAGGGTAGAGCCACGGGTGGTTCCCTGTGCTTCGAAGCACCTCCAGCCCCGGCATAGCATTGGCTTTTGCCCCCCGCCGGATGAGCTCGGTGACTTGTTGCGCTTGCCGGATGGTCCGATAGATAATGCCCTGAGCCAGCTCCTTGGTGGCCTCGTCATTGATGCGCTGGAGGTCGAAGCGGATCCTGATGCCGCCAGGGCCCACCCAGCCGCGGGGCTCACCAGCCTGCGCAGAACTGGACGGCTCACTCATTGCCTATACCCCTGCATCAATCAATACACACGGCAACAGAGCCAGGAGGCAATCATCTCCTCCCCATCTGTGCAGTCTAGCCCTCTTGCCTCCATACCTGAAGCGCTTGGATGGCCATAACTCCCTGCAGCCCAACTGCGCAGACACGCGGCTGTGCAGAAACTGACGGCCCGCTTGCCGCTGAGCAAGCCCTGCATCGCACCAACACAAGCACCAACAGCAGCAAACGCGAAAGCCCCTGCCGACGTCTCGAGTCTTGCCCCTCTTCACGCGTTTTTGTCACCTGGTTTCTCCTTCGATGCACTGGCCTCAGTGATGGCAGTGAAGGAGAAGGAGGATGTTTTTTTTTTTCGGGAGGATGTTCTTTTCCTTTGCCCCCTTTCCCTTCCTTTTCCCAGCTCGCGTTTCTGCGAGCTTTTGTGTTTTGAAGACCTCTTTCGCTTCAACGTGGGAGCGTCGAGTTGAAGCTATGTGGAGCTGAAACCTATCGCTGTTCAATCACGTTTCTTATGCCGGCAGGATGAAAGCAGGGCTGCTGGCCCGGCTGCTGGCGCTGCTTGGCGTCGCCTTTATGGCTTCAGCTCATGGTGGGAATGGCGCAGTGTCCGCCACTTCGGCGCCGCACCGTGCTTTAGGCGATGCAGGGGTGTCTGAGGGCTTTTGGCGGTTCGTTACTGACGAAATCGATGGAATTGCTCTCGTTCTGGGAATCTTAGCCTTTCTGGGGCTCCTCAACGCGCTTGCTGACGTCACACAATCGAAGTAAGCCCTTTGGCGAGCCTGTCTTTGCCTCCCATCAGACGAGCGAGCTATCATGATGTGTGTGGTGCGTGTGCAGGTACCCGTTGGCGCACTCTGACTGGGTGTACCTGTTCTTTGTCATTCGCCGCGACTCAACTTGGGGCCCGCCAGTCTCTGACAGACCCACCACAGCGGTAGGTATTCCACACGATGAAATGCCATCAGCCGCGCTTCACAGCGCTTCTTATTCTGGTTCAGGCGCCTGAGAATCCGGCGGCCAACACCAACACCAACCCTGCTGCTGCTGCTGATGCTGGTCGCGAGCGTGTCCGATCCTCACTGGACAGCCAGGCGTCGGTCATGAGCGACGAGGCAGCCGACGACGATGGCCCTTCCCCCAGCCCTCCGCGCCCCCTTGCCGCTGGTGTGCGTGACTGCATCAGGCAGTTCTTTCTGTGGGTGTACACATCGCTGGTGCTGTGGTGGCACCCGCCGGAAGACGACAGCCCAATCAGTATAGAGGTGGAGATACAACGGGGCGAGGTCGCCTACACCACCAATGTGACGCTCGTCGGACTGATGAAGGAGCAGCTCGCCGACTGGGCTCGCAGGTATGAGCATGAGCACTGCAGTCAGTGCAGCTCGGAAACAACTGCTGAATTTGTGACTGCTGAATTTGTGCTTGTTGTTTCCATCCCGTCGTCCGTGCAGGTGGTGTCTGACGGTCGCTATCTTCCTGGACCTCGAGCGCGGCAAGTGGCGGACATGGGCCACTCGCCCCCAGCCCCCGCCCCTCTGTCTGTCTGACAGCGGCCCATCCCTCCCCCATCGCCAGCGCGATTCGTCCATCGGCTCGCCATTCCTGTCGGCGGCCGAGTCCGCCCGCAGTGTCGATATGTGGGGGGAGGGCAGGCCGGCAGGAGGCGCCAGGCGATTCTGCCAGGTGTTTGGGTGGGTGGCGAGTCGCAAGATGTCGGCGGTGCGGCTGTGTAGTGGTCTGCGCACTGCGTCGGCGCAGCTGCACCCGGCCGATGACTCCCTGATCTGCACTGTGGCAATGGTCCTCACTCTCACCATATGGGCACTCGCCATTGCAATCGGGCCGGTATGTGGGAAGAGCACCTCCTTCTGCTTCTGTCCATCCATCTACCTGTGTATGTATGTGTGTGTGTAGGCGTGCTGTCGGCAGAGACCTGCGTGGCGGGGGCTGGCAGAGGGGACCGCATCATGGCCTTATGTGGTGGCGGCTGTCGCCCTGGTGGCTGGGTGGGGGATGGAGCGGCTGCTCATGGCCGCGTTCTTCAGGCCATATCTACCACAACCCAGGCCAGGTGAAGTAGTGGGATCCCTCACCTGCATGATGACGTGCCGACGCTCCCTTCACTCATCTGTGTGTGTGTATCTGTGTAGGTCGCGATGCTCAGGAGATTGTTCGTCTGTGGATTCGACTGGCCACACTGACCAAAAGGTGGGTGGGCTCAGGAGACAGAGCTGACAGAGTCCTTATGGTTGGTATGCGTGGGCCACCATCGACGCTGTCCTCCCTCTCTCATCATATATGTGTAAATCAGGCGGTTCACTTGTCCGCTGGTCAGTGTCTGTGTATTGGTCGTCGCCTTCTTCCTGCTGAAATCGTCCAGCCAGGTGAACAACAGCGCAAACTCCTCTCTCTCATCCATCCATCCATCCATCCATATATCCATTGGTGTCTGCAGGCGGTGTCTAACTGGGTACTCCTGAGCGGCAGCACTCTGGTCTACCAGCTCTTCCTCTGGCCCTTCACCCAGTCGCTCGTCATCGCCTCACTGCAGACCTGCTGCGCACCCGCCACTGCCCATACACACACACACAGGCACACGCCGGTCGACCTCACGAGCTCGTCCGAGCAGTACTACACGGCCGTCGAGTCGACGCCGTCCTCCCCTTCACACAGAGCCGGTGGCGGCGAGGGGGAGCCCGGTGCTGCCAGCGACCGGCGGCGACCGTGTGTGGACGGTTCGTGGGTGTTGGGGGGGTGGCCTGAGTGGGCTGTGTGGGATGGAGACTTGCTGGTGCAGCGAGAGGGCGTGAGGAGCGTGGAGGGCGTGAGGGAATACCTCATCTGGAGAGTCGCTGCCGAAAAGGTACACAAGCAAGCAAGCAGGCAGGCAGGCAGGCAGGAAAAGTGTGTATGCAGAAATTGGATTCCTGCCTGGACGGACTCTCTCCTCTCGCCCTCTGTGTGCCGGGTCGGGTGCATTCATTCAGGCGCATATCGTGTCCTGGTGGCGCAGCCTATCGGCGTCTGCAGCAGCAGAGGAAGCCCAAGCCCCCACCACCACAGCAACAGCACCAGCAGGCGGCACCGAGCTGGCCCCCCTCCCCTCCTCGCCTCCCCCCATTCCAGAGCAAGCGGCCGACATCGAGATGCGCATCCCCCTCCTGCCCCCCGCACCTGCGTCCGCATCTACGCAGGCCGACTCGCCCCCTCCCTTCATGCACCGACAGACAGACGAGGGCAGAAAGCTGCAGCAACCAGCCCCTGAAAACAAGGCCAGAAGACCCTCCCCCGACCCCGCCAGACAGCGGCAGCATCTCGACGTGCCGGCCCACCCCTTCACGCTTCCCCAGACGCGGAGCTCAGACACGGACGCACTCGTACCGACAGGCGACAACGATGCGGCCGTGGAGCTTCGATCCCTCCCTGTGTCGCGTCGCTCGTCTGCCAGGAAGGCGTCCCACGACTCGCCCCGGTTCTTCGACGCCGTCTCTGACATCTCAGATGCCGACAACGCCGATGTGTGTGGTGGCAACGACCCCGAGCGGCCGGAGAGCGAGCCAGATCGGCCAATGCGCACCGAGCGCACCGAGATGGAGAGCGGCGCCCTGGCCATGGCCGGTCAGAGGGGTCTCGGCGACAAAGCCAGGAACCAGGCGCACTTGGAGACGGACCGAAGCGACAACCCGCCCCCTGGAAACCCCCCCGTGCCGCGTCTGCCGCCCTGTCACTCGCCGGTGCCGCCCATGCGTGGGGATAGCTTCCCGCCCGAGCATGGCGACGTCAGTGTGAAGGCGGCCGACAAGAAAGGGGCGGGGGCGGGAGAGGCGGCGGCTGTGCTTGACGAGGTGCGCAAGGTGCTGGCGGCGCTGGTGCGCAAGCACAGGATGAGCGAGAAGGAGGCCGCACTGCTCTGGGAGACCTGGCCTCTCAAGGTACAACGACCGTGTCATTTCTCCGCTCATGTGTGTATGGGATGTGGTTGTGGTTGTGGTTGTGGGTGTGTGCAGGGATTGGTTCGGCTAGCTGAGGGTGGGGTGAAGTGCACCGACTCTGAGCAGCTGGAGAAGCAGAAGGGGGTTGTGCTGGACCTGATCAAGTCTGCGGGGAGCGGCCTGCTGCAGGGGAAGGGGCTCGGCATCATCTCACTACCCGTACGCATCTTCGAATGCAAAAGCGCATTCCATCGGTAAGTAATCCGACACACAACACACACACACACACACACGCATACAAGCAGGATAAGCACACATCTTTTCCTCGTCAGTTTGGCTGAGATGTGGAGTTTCTTGCCGATCTTCCTGACCAAAGCGGCTTCCCTGCCGCAGGACCCCGCCCATGACCTGGAGCGGTTCAAGCTGACCGTCACGGGCATCATCGCCGGCCTCTACTGTGGCATCAGCCAACTCAAACCATTGTACGTCACACGCAGACGCGCACACGCACATGTGTGTGGACGTATCATGTCCATCGATCTCCGCCTGTCGATGTGTGTGTGTGTGTGCAGCAACCCCATGTTGGGTGAGACGTTGCAGGGCTGCTGGCCGGACGGCAGCGAGCTGTGGTTCGAACAGACCTCATTCCACCCTCCTGCATCCAACTACCAGGTGGGTGGCAGAGGTCCGTCAGTCGCCACACACCACACCGACCAACACAGACCGCCGTCTGCACGTAGATCTTGACGCCTCACGGTGGTTGGTGGATGGCGGGATTTGCCGAGTTCCACGCAAACATGAAGGGCAACGCAGTCATCGGAAAGCAGGAGGTGGGTGGGTGGGTCACTCTGCCTGCCACAATCAGGACACAGCAGGACAGTGAATCTAGGCCCGTCTGTGTGTTGCGTTGCATTGCTTTGGCAGGGCAAGAATGTGGTTTGCTTTCCGCATACTCATTCCCGCCAGCGTGTCGAGTTCAACGTGCCGTACGTGCGGCTGTCGGGCCTCTATTTCGGCGCCAGGCTCGTACACTACATCGAGAGCGGCAGGTGGGTGTCTGTCTGCCACCAAGCGGCTCACATGCTGCAGATCAGATCCTTCCTTTGCAATGAACGGTCTGCAGGTTCTTCGACCCTATCAACGGCTACCATCTTGAGCTCCACTTCGGCAAAGAGTCGCACAGACGGGGGCTATTCACCAGGTGGACCCGGTCCATCCCTCCCTCCCTCACAGGGAGACAGAAGAGTCTCCATCTGTCTGTCTGTGTCTGTCTGTCTGTGTTGGTCATGCAGACGTGCATCCGGTCACGCGTTGGACCACTTCAAGGGCTACATCACCAAGCGCAAAGTGGCCGTCGACCACCCCCCCACGCCCCTGCACACCCACTCACACACACCAACCCCCCATGCCGACCCCCACCCGCATCTTCATGGTCATGCACCCCACCGGTCGCTGGCCCACCGCCGGAGCTCCACACACGAGATGCTGCGGGAAGGCGAGGACATCGTGTGCGAGGTGTTCGGATCGTGGCTGGAGGGCTTCTGGTGCGACAACAAACCCTACTGGCTCATACAGGTATTTTTAAATGGAATCATTGGCAAAATGAGACAGACGGGAAGCTGTGTTGGCGGATGTGAGATGTGTGTGCGTGTGTGTGTGTGTGTGTGTGTGTCAGGACTACCGCCCAGTCGAGCTATGTGTCCCGGAGCCGTCACAAGTACTGCCCTCTGACTCAACGTAAGAAGAGGGCATAGTGTACCCAGCAGACAGGCCACCAAAAGGACGGGTGTGGTGTGGTGTGCAGGAACCGTCCCGACTTGGCGTACCTGAAGGCAGGCGACACCGAGACATCGCAGGAGTGGAAACTCAAGTCGGAGGCCAGGCAGCGCAAGGACAGACACAAACGGTCGGTGAGTCCACATGTATCTGCACCAACCGGCGAGCCAGCAAATAGAGACATGGCGGTGTCCTCCTTGCTGGCTTGCTTTGCACTGCATTGACGCAGAGATGCATGTCGGCGGGCTCTTCAGCTGCCCGAGTTGCAATTCAAATGAGGCAGGCAGGCATCTTCCTCCTTGCTGCTGCCACACGTGGACACGTACGGGTGTGTGTATGCCTCCTGTGTCGGATTGAGGACTGACTGCTAGCCATTGGTTGGTTGGTTGGTTGGTTGGTTGGTGATCACGGCACACGCATCGATCGCATCATGTATATGACCGACATGACATAGATCTTTTTCCGTTGGTTGCTCATGCATGCAGTCTGACTCACTGACAGACTCAGAGAGGGGAAAGGGGTCAGTCAGTGTGCAGTCATAGAGGGAGGGGGTGCTGTGCTGTGCTCAATCTATGCGTAACCATATATGTGTGCGCTACAGTGTACGGCCGAGAAAATGCTTGGGCTCAAGAACCGGTCTCCGAGTGCCGAATCCACGTGCGACATTCGCAACGAGGCTGGGGGCATGCACCCTGGCCCCCAGCCGTCTCACCGTCTCCTCGTTTTCCATCCCTTTCCCGAGAAACATGACTTCCGGTGCCTCTGTCCTTCTCTCCCTCATCGCCCTTATCGCATCTGGTGTCAAGGCTACTGCAGCGCACGGTGAGCACGGCTGATCAAAGTACACAACCTCCCCTCGACGGTCTGCGATGCAATCCCATCCATGGATGGGATGGATGGACGCAGGTGGTCGTGGTCACGCAGCTCCTACTTCTCCACCTTGGGCTCTGAAGGCCTTTGATTGCAACGGTGAGACAGACCAATCGTGAGTACCAGCATGTCGCGCCTCTCCATGTGTGCGCATTGCGATGCAGAGCACCACAAGTGCGGCATCGACAACCCCTGCGGCGACCCCAGTTTGGAGTGCCGCACGGCGGAGGAATACTGGGAATGCAATGAGACGGGCTTCAGTAAGCATTGCAGGGGGAGGGATTCACTGTCTGCAAACCCACGCACGTCGATGCATCAAATCAACAGGGCTGAAGAAGCAAATCTACTTTGACGAGTACAACCGGCAGTTCGGTAAGAGCAGACTCACCGGAGAGACACGGCATGCACGGAGGCACACGGACCACTTGTGAATGCGACACATGTACGTACGTATGCAGATTCCGCAGGCCGACGGACCATCCACAACTTGCGTGACCCCAAGCTGCCTGCTTACTCCCAGTGGATCCGCGATACCTTCTTCAGCCACTGCATGTGCTGCGTCTTCATCCCCGAAGCAGACTACGACGACGAGCAACTGCCCCCTGTCGGCAGCGAGCGAGACATTCCCGCCTGGGCGTTCAGCGCCGAACCGATGAGGGACTACAAGATCCCCCCAGGCGTCTTCATGCCCGAGCCAGACTACGACTAAGACTGAGCGATCGAATGACAACAGCTTGTCGCATCCATTGAGTGCAGAGATACACTGCCTGACTGCATGCTGTCTGAAACTCACCGAATTCCAATTTCAGTCGAGACGAAGGGTGAGTGACACGAACTCGTCGGTGGTGTTCGTGGAAGCTCACTTGGATGGATTCGAGAGAAATGACAGCGTGTTGTAACCCTGATTGACTGACGATGACAGCGAAAGGGACAGTAACGAGCAACAGGATTGTACATCAAAACACGTCACGTGCAGCGCCGGTCCCTAATTAGACATATCGCACAAGTGTCACGCCACACACAAGCACGCCCAAGTCCAATCACATCAATCAATTGCTTCAAACCCCCTGCCTGGCCTGACAGACAGCCGCGGCTATCTTGCCCTTTCCTCCTGCTGACTGGCGGCGGTTGGCGTGCCCCCCTCTGGTGGCGCCTCCACATCCGACGCAGCACCCTCACTGGCCGCATTCTGAGGCTCCACTGGTATCGACAGGAAGATCCCCTTCAGATGCACCGCAAAGATGCAGGACACGATGCGCATCAGGATCGTCAGTCGGCCGACGAGCAGAGGGGGGAGGATGCCTGAGAAAGAAGAGGGAACATAACACACACTAGTTGGCTGGGCTGGTGAAGTGAATGCATTCATCGGCATGCCATGCGTTGCGTACCGAGTGCAAGGAAGCCAAATAGCTGCCCCAGCAGTCCGATGAACGAAATGCCGATGAACCGCTCAAAGTGCCGGTAGGCCGGCCGCAAGCACACAACGACGCCCAGGAAGTAGTACACGCAATTGAAGCCGATCTCGATGCCAGTCTTCAGTCTAGCCCGCCTGCGCAACATGTCAACGAGATTCGGCGCCTGCACCAATAGCACAGACAAACCACACATGGGTCAACCAACATGCCTACCCATCCAGTCTACGCGTACATTTGGGTTTTGCTTCTGCCAGTCCTGAACCTGCAAACACACATGCAGTACATCAACACACAGCGCGATGGCGGAAGAAAGCTGTCCTGTCCATGCACCAGTGCTCCGACCTGCTGGCTATTCCTCATGGCGTCGAGCTGCACGGGGAAGAAGCTCAGGAAGATGAGGGTGAAGGCGCCGTTGATGATGAAGTCGATGGCCAGCACACACAGGAACAGGTTCATCTGCTGCTTGAACCTGTATAGGAGGCCCTTCGCGAGCATCTGCGTCACATGCTGATCCCGCTGATGCAGCAGCAGGGGCAGCACCTCGGCCGCCTGTGCGCCCGCCGCATCCATGGCCACCCACAGTGATGGATGCCGCCCAGCAGATCTCTCGAATCGCGCGACTCTCCAGGCCGCAGGGTTCGGTTTACAGGGTTTTCCTTGGCGAGCTCACAGATTCCGCTCCCTTCTCGAACGATGGCTGCAAATCGACTGCCAGCACGGTCAAGATGACAGCCATCAGCCTTCGTCACGGATCTGCCTTTTTGTTGCATCGTCACGCAACACAGAGCGTCGCCCAGCGCAGCAGTGTGAGGATTCATCGTCGCGGCTTCGTTGAAGGCCTGCTGAAGAGATGGACCACGTACAGGGTGCCCATCATGGTGCCCAAGGAGGCCCTCTTCTGCCGCGTCTACCACTGGCACGTCAAGCTCAACGACCAAGTCAAACGGGTGGGCAGAATGACGGACATGTGAGAGGTTGTTTGCAGTGCACTGCACTGCTGCTGTGTTGGTCTTTCTGTCTGTCTGTTTGCTTGTTGTTCAGGGCTCGCTGCTGATTGATGCAGACACGGTTCAAGGTCTGCTTGGGATCTCCTCTGCGCACCACGGGAAGGTTGTTGACATATGCTGCAAGAAGGACGACATGCTCAAGGGGGGCGATGTCATCTGCCGCATCGACGTCCCCTTCATCGACTACTGGAGGTACCTCAGTGAGTGGGAGTATTGAGGCCGTCATCATCGTGGTTGGTGAGGCATCTGTGCTTGCTGCCTTTGTGTGTGTGTGCGCGCGTGTGTGTGTGTGTGTGTGTATCAGGGCTGTTGCTGAGGACGGTACCAATCCCAGTCGGCAGCCATATCTACAGAACAAGGAGAAGAAGAAGTAGACGGGCCAAGGGTCGGTGGGGCACTCACCGCTTGGGCAGACGAGCAAGGCCTTTTCCAGTGTGGTTGACTGTCTTTTGTTTATGTGTGAGGGTAGGGTAGGGTAGCCCCCCGCCCATGCATGTGGATTGATTGGCTATTGATTGACACATACGGGTCCATCCATCCATGGTGAATGAAGGGATGTTTGAAGCTACGTATGTACGCCTATGATACGGTTGTCGCACTGATGATATCTATCGATGATGTACAGCCCAGCATTGCTTCTTTTCGCAAACAACACATCCACACCACCAGCCACCCAGCTGGCCAGCCAGCCAGCCAGCCAGCCAGCCAGGCAGCCGGGAAAGGAAAGGAGAAAGGAAGTCAGGCGGCGGCCGCGATGGCTTCAGGGGTCACTTGTTCCTTCTCCTTCCCCATCTCACGCATCTGACGCTGCGTGAATCACACGCACATCCACACACACACGCGCACACACACAGCCATTCCACACGCACATACGCAGCCATTCCAGACACGCGCATGCATTCCACCTGCACGTATGGCCACTTACCCTGATTCGGTATATTTCGGGCTGGATGAGCTTCTTGGTCATCCAGCTGCCGTTGCAGCCTATCTTGGCAGCAGATATCTGTTAAGCGATTGATTGAGAAGACGAGGAGGGACAAGCGAGAGAGGCGGGCGTGCCACGAAGGGATGAGAGCAGCGTGGTAGGTAGGGAATGGAATCAACACCTACCTACCTTGGGCAGGCGCCTTGCGTGCTGCAGCGCTTCGGCAGCACCCATGACACTCTGCACACAATGAATGCGTCGCAATGAGTGCAGCCACATTTCTGTGTGGGTGCGGTGCTCATGCTGACTCTGTGGAAGTTGCGCAACACGCGAATCAGCACGGGGCTGACCACATAGACACACACGAGACGACCACCAATGTGGGGGATGGGATGTGCCCTTCCTGTCTGCCTGTCTCACTTGTCCTGGAAGTGTGGGTGCATGCGCTTAAGGGGCAGCTCAGTCAGGTACAGACGGACTAAGACAACCAATCAATCAACGGACACACACACAAAGCATCCATCCATCCATCAAAGGTGAGAATATAGCTCTTGTCACAACGCGACCCGACCGACAGTCGGTCGGCTCTATTCAACAAAGCACTACCTGACGTGACCTGACCTTCGATGAAGTCTTTGACGACCCACTTGGCGGCGTTGACCAGCACAGGGGGAATGCGGATGTCGTAAAACAAACACGCCTCTGCCATCTGCGCACACGCAGACAGACAGGCAGATAAACCAAGACGCACCAGACTCGTATGTATCATGGTCAATGTGTATGCCCATGTGCGATGTGCTTCTTGTTCGTCCGTTTACCTCGACGCAGTCCTGCCAAGGGGGGGGGGGAGACACAAAGAGATACAAAGCTACACAGATGATGGGGGACGGGGTCGTAGACATGGTATACCGGCGGCAGGGGCTTTGACGCCGTCTCTGGCAGGACCTTGTTGGTCACCACCTGATAGGCAGACACAGACGGGGCACATGCAGGACGCCATTAGAATGGGATTCACGGATTCACGGGTGCATTGGTTGGCTGGTCGCCTCGCCCCCTGCCCACCCACCTCTAAGGCTGCGACTATTTCTGACTCCTGGGTCTGCTTGGATGTCATGTCCTGCACAGATGGCAGATAAGGGAGCCTCGGATGCACCAACCTGATGGTGCCCTCGGAGGTCAACTAACCCCTCTGTCTTCCGCCTTGGTCAGTGCTGTCTCGATCGACTGTGCACACACACACACACACGGGCACGCGCACGAATCCCTGTGTGTCTCGTGTCTCAACCAATGTGGGCTGACTGCCGGCCGGACGATATGTACCAACCATGATTTTGTCGATGGGCTCAAAGACCTGGTTGTGTATGGTGAGCAGCTCCTTCGAGTAGGCGCTCTCAAATCCCACAAACAGCTGATCAAACTCCTCCAACACCTCTCGCAAGCGACCGCGGAAATTCTTCAGACCGTCGCCAAAGTCGCTCTGGCCCCACAACCACACGAATCACAGCTCGAATGAGAGACAAAGGTGCTCTTGCCGGCCCCTCCCCACGCACCTTGACGCTGGGTTCGATGAGGGAAGTGATTCTGAGTGCGACGTCGTCGAAGGCCTTAAGGAACTTGATGCCGTGTGAGTTGAGCTCGTTGCTGAAATTGAACGACTGTCCGTTGAAGTCCACCGTCGGCGACGTCGCCAAGGCCTGTGCAGCCACCACCACTGACACGCTGTACCCAAGGGGCTCGTACCTGCGTGTGTTGTGTGGGGGGTCAGTGGCCATTTATGTATGTCTGGCTGGTGCGCAGGGGCTATATTCTTACTTACTGGGGGATGGGGAAGAGGTATTTGTGGTGGTTTTGGAAGCGGTAGCTCTTGTTCTCTGGCGAGATGCTCACGTACTCGCCGAGCATGCCCAGTAGGTTCAGAAAGCGGGCCAGCAGACGCACTCCGTCGCCCTCGAGCGCAGTGCTCACCAGAGGGACCTTTCCCTGCAAATCAGCCAGTCTGACAGATGACACAAACAAGGCAGACGGAGGCATTTGTGGGGACGTCAGCTGTGCTCCTGCCTCTCACTCTTTGATGTATGCGAAGTCGGGTGTTCCCTTGAATTTAACGACATCGGGTGTCCCCGTGATTTTTCCACCCTTCTTGCCTCCCTTCTTCTTCGGAGCCATGCTGCAATAATGCCTCCACTAAGGAGCGTTGACTTCGTTCGCAAACCACCTCAAGACAACTTGAACTTGAAGCTTGCAGTCTTGGGGGCCGTGGGGGCCTGGGACAAAACGCCGACTCTCGTGAGGCGCAGAATGGTGTACACTCGCCGCACGGCGACGTCCAAGCTGGACCCCGAACTCAAGCATGTGTGGGAGAGGGGCAATGAGGAGAGCAGGGACTTCAAGACAACATCAGCCGGTGAGCGAAGCTGTAAGGAAAGAGGGCCGGGGCTGCAGCCCTACTACGCACACATCGGGCATTCTTCTGCCTCCCACACAAATGGACATGCACATGCAGAGATGAGTGAAGATGTGGAGGAGTTTCTTCGCTGGCGACAGGAGCGTCTGCAGTCCCGCAAGGAGTTCGAGATGAGCCAGGGGGTGGGCGACGAGGCCGTCAGCGACGACCCCATCGTCACAAAGGTAACATGAAACACACATACAGGGGCTCAACAGGCTGTCCATTCCTCTTGATGCTCTTTCTCCCCCGCAGCTTGCCAACGATATCATCAAGAATGAGAGACGTAGGCATACGTACAAACAGACAGACAGACAGACAAACAGGCAAACAGGACCTCCTGATCGTCTTATGTGGTTGTGCACCATGTGTGTCTGTGCCCAGGTGGCAAGGACATGCCTCACCGCCGTGACAACGTCCGTGAGCTGTTCTGTGCACCAACAGACAAGACCGATTCGACGCAGAAGAGCACACACAGTAAGGCAGAGGACAATCCATATGCGGCACACTGACGGCTCAGCTGTCTGTTATGTGCGTGTATCAGTTTGGGACTCCCTTTTCACCAACGAAATGAGCAAACGCAACCCGTGAGCCATTTCGTTTGCGCAGCACATGTCATGTCTCCATTTCGTTTGCACAGCAATGTCATGTCTCGTCACACAGCAATATGCGCCCGTGTGCGTGTCTGTATTGCCTTGTGTACGTCAGTGCCTACTGCAAGCAGAAATACGAGGAAAAGCGCTTTCTGGAAGATAAAGGTGGGAAAGCAGAAGACGTGCCTGTACCGCGAAAACATCGAGACACGCATCTCCACTCTGTGTGTTCCGTGTTTTCAGTGCGGTACAAGCACACCATGCGTGCCTGAGTGGGGTGGGGGGTCCATCGCGTAACCAATTCATGGGTGTTTCGATCCATTGCGTAGTGTGCGCATGAACGGACTATCGAATGCATGCCATTACATGGTGTCTCTGCGGTTGTGCATGCGCTGACGTACACTTGGTTGATTTCTGTGGCCCCCGCCCTGTAATACTCCTTCAGGCTCTTGATGTGTCAACTCATGGAAGATAGCAATTCCCAGGCACCCAGGACATGCACAAACACACGACCGCGTGTCTGATTCTGCGCGAGGACAGCGTCGATACGGCTTTGGCCGGCTGGATCTCCCCACATCTGCGCATACATAGCACAACGGGCGTCTGACGATTCGTCTCATGTGTACGTGTGGGAAATACGTAATGCGTACCGTACCGATTGATGCCCCTTAAGTGGACTGCCCACGGCGCAGGAGCAAGTGACTGCTCATCAAAATATCCAAATCCCCGATCATGTCGTCCATTCTTTCCATGATGTCATTCACAATATCATCCTTGTGCCTTGCACCAACTATATCCACGACCCGCGACTGAGGTTTCCTTCGTTTGTTCTGCATATATGTCACATACCTTTTTCCGAGAGCAGATCCATCAGTTGCTGCTTGCAGATGAGTCCTTCTAGCAGTCGCGTCCTCTGCAGCATAAGCTCGCGTGCAGCATCTCCCTCTCGTCGCGCAGCGAGCGCTTCTTGTCCCTGCCTTTCTCCTGTATAGTCGAATAAGAAATGCTTATAGAATCCAGTCAGTCATTTATCAATGTCTGTGGATTAGTGTATATGGGGTCGTACTTGTTTTATTTCGGTATCTAATTCATCGATCCTATTGCATAGGTAGTTGGCCTTCAGAGAGATGCGCTTCTCATCGGCTAGTAACTTAGCATAATCGCCTATCTCTCCCAGTCCCAGCAAACTTGCCGCCCGCTCCAGACCACACAGTCGATGGGTGGACCACAAAATCTCGCTGTGTATCCTCAGCCTTTTCGTCACGTCCTCTTCCTATACGCGAGTGCGAAACACAGCAGGTATCTATGGTTTTCGATCAATCGATCAGCTGTATTCGCTACTGTCTGCAATCCGTACTTGCCGCCGTCGTACGTCCAACGCCATTTCATCCTTCTTGAGCTCCTCAATATCGTTCTCCAATTGCTGAAGAGATCGCCTTATCTCTTGCCTTCTTTCTGGGTCTTTGTGAACCTGCCCCATCAGACGCCAGTATGAGCCATTCTTTAGGGCGAGTTGCATCAGAAGCCAGAGAGAGCTTTTGTTTATTTCCTCCTCCAAGATCTCTGTCGGGTCAGGCTGCTGGGGCGAGTCGCCAGTGCTTGCGGCCTGAACAAATGCCAACCATGGGGCACACACAGACTATGCATGAAGGTCCGATTGGTTGCGTTGAACCTGCCTGCCTGCCTCCCTTCTGCATTCTCGCCTCCTTACTCTTCTGGTTCGAAGGCGCTTTTGTCCCAGCCGCAGGGCGGAATACGCAATCATACGCCGCCGGCTGGCGGGAGAAGCAGGGGAAGGGACGAAGGCGAAAGAAATCATGATGGCAGATGGCATCGCCAGCAGCACCAACTGAAGCGTGAAGGCCAGTGGGATGGGCAGCGACTGTCTGGAAGACGTCATGGCAGCAGAACGCCTGCATCGCATGAATGAATAGATTGATACCTCCTTCCCGTCAGTTGACACTCGTACGCTCTCTTGCCTGGTGATTCAAGAGTCTGTTGGTGACCCCCCTCCCCCCCCTCCCTCTGTTGCGAGCTTAGATCGCACTTCGAAGAAGATCTCCCAACAGACTCTTGCTTGCAAAGACCATACCGTCACGGAGAGGGCAGGGCGAAAGAAAGGCGTCGAGATCATGAATATCTGACAAGATTCATTGATGCTGTCGGATAAATAGCGTGCTCAGGTTGCTCGTAGAGTAGTTGATGACCAAGCAGATGGAGTCAGAGTCTTTTCTCTCTGAAAAGACCCAGTCTGCCTAACGCTATGGCGTTGGGCTTCCGCTGGAATAGGGCTCCGTTTCACGAAGCTACCTAAGAAAGCGGGTATCTCCCTGGGCTCTGGCCAGGGGTAACTGGCCAGACGGTATTATGTTTGGTTCTGCTGCTCGTTTCACGTAGCAGCCTGGGCTAGGGCTTGAGTACCCTTCGACACCCCCTCTCACTCAAGACCCTCTACGAAGCCTAGAGTGAAGCCATCTGCCAGATCTACATCTGCTCTGCCTCCCCTCATGTATCCATATCGGATTCCTCATCAGATTCCACATCCATCCTTGTGCCCCTCGGTACGAGGAAGTCTTGCGTGGCGTGTGACGGGTTGCTGAACAGTTTCTCTGTCACTGGTGTGTGCTTGCCTGCAGGCAGGTTCTTGGTGAGCACATCTGCCACGTTCTCAGCCGATGGGATCCAACCAACCTCCACCTCGCCCGCCTCGACCTTCTCACGCACCAGGTGATACCTGACACGGATGGCCTTGGTCCTATCAGACATCTCTG